ATGTAAACATAAATATATTCATTCTCTTTCTCATTCTCTTTTCCTTTTCCTCTATTTTAATCTCAAAGTAAACTCATGCATTTTATAATTTTGCATTTATCTCAAAGTAAAATTTCTTATTCCACATTTGTAAAGTCTAACAAATATTTATCCAGTGAACTGAGAGTGCAATTTTGTGTGAACATATCAGTATGTGTGAGTGTGTAACCATTGCTTATTTGTATTTATACCCATTTTTAATGTAAATTTGCATTTGAGAATATAAATGTGAAAGAAAGCATAATACTATTTTGCAGCTTGCTCTCCTTTTGAAATGTTTTGAATTATAAAGCAGTTATGGAATGGTTTGAAAGTTTTATTCCTAGTTAAATAATGGAATAACATAGTTGGAAGTGACCGTAAATGTGGTTACTGCAAGAACTGGCTCAATTGCAAAACCTTCTTGATCTCTTTCTCTTTAGCAGCAGATTAAGAAAGAGGAAAAGATAACATTCCAGTTTATCTAAAATTCCTTTATAATCACATAGAATAAAGAGTATTTTCATAAATGGCTCTGGAAGGATCTCTGAAATTTAGGATAATGCTGACAAATGTACCATGTTTCTCACAAAATAAGGCCGGGCCTTTTTTTTTTTTTTTTTTTGAGCCCTGAAAAAACGGCTAGGCCATCTTTTCAGGGGTGACTTAATTTCCCCCCTTGCATCCTCATCTAGAGCGCCCTGTGGGCAGCCTCGCCACCAGCCACTCCTAACAGGTGATCATGGCGAAGCACGGAGAGCTCCATACTCCCATCAAACACCTTTGCTGCAGACCTAAGACCTTTGGCATCCGCCACTGTTGCTTTCCCTTCTGCCCATTCTGCTGCCACTTTTGGAGTGGCGGTGGCACTCCAAATGGCAGTAGTGCTCCAAACAGTGGCAGTGCTCCAAATGCGGAAGTGGCAGCTCCAAACGCGGCGGCAGCTCCAAATGCGGACATGGCAACTCCAAACAGTGGCAGTGCTCCAAACAGCAGCAGTGCTCCAAATATGTAAGCGGCAGCTCCAAACGTGGCGGCTGCTCCAAATGTGGAAGCAGCAGCTCCAAACAGCAGCAGCGCTCCAAATGTGGAAGTGGCAGCTCCAAACGTGGCAGCAGCTCCAAATGCGGAAGCGGCAGCTCCAAACAGCAGCAGTGCTCCAAACAGCAGTGGTGATCCAAACGTGGAAGTGGCAGCTCCAAACGTGGTGGTGGCATGGGCAGAAGGGAAATCAACAGCGGTGGGGGCTGAAGGTCTTGGGTCTGCTGCAAAGGTGCTTGGCAGGAGTAGGGAGCTCTCCACGCTCTGCCATGATCGCCCATTAGGAGCAGCTGGTGGCGAGGAATTGCTGCTCGCAGGGTGCTCCTAACGGCAAGTCCCCCCGCCCTTCCCCCTTATTTTGCATGTTTTAAAATAGGCCTAAATTTGGGGGGAGGGGCTTAATTTGATTTTATGCCAATAAAACATGCTGGGCCTTCCTATTGGTGGTGGTCATATTGTTGGAAAAACACGGTATATGCAACTTTAAGCCTGCTTTCTTAAAAGAAGGGTCTGTATTTTTCAACTAAATGATTATCTAAACACTTATTTATCAAATTTATATGGCCATCCTTCTTGCAAAAATTGACTTTAGGTATGACATACAACAATTGCTTAAAATGATAAATAGTATATAACAGCGGTTATTCATTAAAATGTAAACATTAAAAAAGCGAGGTGCAAGAGAAAATAAACGTTTACTGGAGTGATGGAACCACCTCAGGATTTCACTGGTTCCCTTGGCATTCCCTGTCCCCACTCCCCAAGCCTGATGACATCGCCAGATTTTGAGGTACTTCTGAAGTATTAACAGAGATGAAGCTAATCTCATTTGTGGAAGGAAGAAGGAGAGATAGTTCCATAAGAGGGCTGTAATTTTATTAGATTTCATGGGACATTTTAGTTTGAATTTCAGCATTATGTGAACATGGCAAAGTGTACACTGCTTTCTTCTGTTCTTAATATTGGCAGAATAGGACAGTTTTCCTGTCTATTCTTGTGTTCATATGTGTGTATAAATTGAGAATTTTTATCTGGTAAATATCAACCAAAATTATTGTGGTACTCTAATCTATAGAAGTATTGCAACTTTTTCTCATGAAATTTAGCAGTTATACTCAAGTTACAGCTCACTTTGCCAGATGGATTACATTATTCCATATTTATTTGTTTTTGAAGGGAACCATTCAGGGAGAAATTCCCTTAATGGTTTAGAACTCAGTACTAAAAATAATTGATGCATATAGCACTTTTTCAGAGTTATAATTCAGAGAGATAAGGTATACAATGTCCAACATTGGGCTATCACAGAAGTTACTCTAGACTCTAGAGTATGAAAGTTACCCGGTAGAAGCTTAATACTGAATGCTCCCAGCATCCATTTGTCAACTTTGATAACCAGAGAAAGCTTAGTAGTAGCAGTTGCCTACTTTAAAGTATGGCAGTCCTACACAACCAGTAAAAGAGAAAGGGCCACATCACTAAATGAAATTTTTGCGATCCCAAAGGAACACCTGGAGCACCAGTCAACTGTCTGATCACTAGTAGAGAGAGAGAGTGGTGGAGCTGGTGGTAGCAGTGATGTTTGGAGGCTTCCAGCACAGCATGGCTTTTGGAGCAGCTGTGGCAAATTTATTGTTTTTTTAAAAATGCCAGCAGGCCACACAAAGTCTGCTTAGTAGGCCTCATGTGGCCATGGCTTGTATGTTGTACAAGCCTGAAGTACACCCTTTTGCCCAAAAGTACATTCTCGTGTAATCATGCACTCCTTCATCTATTTTTCCTGTGGTTTTATTCTTTATGTCAGTGAAGTGGGTTGGGCACTCACTGCTCCTTCATGATTTGATTGAATCAGGAGTGGTGGACCTGATTACTACTCTACCATGATGATTGAGATCTGTCCTGGTATATGATAGGCATGACACATTCATGTTTACTGCAATATATGCTCATGCAATTATCGTTGAATGTGAACAACTACTTGAAATCATCCAGTTTGGGCTATTGCTCTGCCATGCCCTGTACAAAAAAGTTCCTTGTTTTTATTTAAAATTAATTAACTAATTAACCATCAGCTCATTTTATTTTGGTTTTAACTACAGTTAATAAGGTTATTACTTTCTTCCAGTTTTCAACTTGTGGCATATATACGGAAGTATTCTTAAGTTTGTGTGTGGCTTTAGAGCCCCAGGTTTCAGTTTGTTCGTACAGTGAGATTGAACTCATAGACTCCTGGTTTCTAGCCTGGTGCCTTAAAAACAACACTAAACTGGCTTCATTTTTGGTATTATCACATCCTTTTTTCAGATGGGATGACCTGAGATTTATATCCTCTTCCTTAATTTTGATAACAATTTTGTTTAATACACCATAATGTATTTATTTATTAAATTTGCTCCCCATCTCACCTCAGGAAAACTTTGATGGCTTACAACATTAAAATTTGCACTTCCAAATACATGTAAGTGTACATGCTATATGGTCCATGGGATATACTTTGGCTTTCAAGATGCTTCACTTCAGACCTCCCTTCCCTAATTTTGCCACCAAGAGTGCACCTGCCCTGTTCATCCCTCTTTCTTTCCTTCCTGTTGCTTCCTCTTTTTGACATCTCTCTTGTTGTTTGGTGGTCACTGCCACAGACAGCTGGCTCATCTAATAGTATACTTTCCTTAGTGGTGTAATTGCCTTTTTGGAAAAAGAATCCCTCCCTGGATAAATAACTGTATATAAATGCATGTAAAATAAATTCAGGTTTTTGATTTTTTTTTATCAGAGTCTTGCTACTTTTCAAAGTGCAGTCTCTTGCATGCTTCCTAAAACCTAATTCAACTCTTACCCAAAGGTAAATACTCTGTCTATATCTCAATCAGAGCGATGGAATTTCTAATATTTTAAATTATATGATGCATTTGCAACTCCGGAAAGTATGCCTAAACATGTGTATGCTAGGAGCAAATATAGACAGAAATGCATACTCTATGTTAAGAAAAAATATCCAATACTGCACTATAAAGGAGGTTTGCTTAAGAAAAATATGGTTTTAGGACCGCATGCATAAATATGTTTATGGAATAAACATCCTTGAAGAGTTTGTGGTAATGGTGCTGTTACTGTTGTGCCTTCCACAACCAGGCAGGGATAGTAGTCAGCTCTAAGAAAAGTGAAACATAAAAATTCTATATTGATATTTAGGAAGTGAAATCTTACAGACATTTTCTTCTTGACAATTCAGGATCTTTTCTGTTAAAACCACTATCACCACAGAGAAGTGCTGAGAATGCAGTAGAGTGGTGAATTTCATAGTCCAAAGTTAAATATCTGTTACTCTTTATTGACAGCTCAGTAGACTTACTCATTTTAAAACAATTGCTCAAAGAATCATGATTCCCCAAAGAAAAATGGTAATGCCTTTGCAGCTATGGCAGCTTTCTATTATTCAGCATTGCATGCATTTTGCTTTCGGACACATTCATAAGTGCAAGAATATCATGAGTTTGAACTAGAATCCATGGTGAGGATTTGAAATAGGACTATATATTTGTATTCTTGTGCCCATATTTTTTTTATAAGTGACATTGAAATATATAGAATATATGGCTGTTGGTTTACCATCAAAAATATTATAGAGTCATGTTTTTCTGGTTAATTAGAATTTGCTTACTTATTTTTTTTTCATTTTGATACAATCCCTTGCTAGTTGGGACTCATTTGAACAGTGCTGCCTTTTGTGGTTTATATTTTAATTTGTGTTTCTGTTCTGGTTTATGAACAATAATAAGGCCTTGCTTGAATATTCACTGCCTTTTAAATGTTGAACTAAGGAAGATGCTTTCTCTTACTTTAATGATAGCAGCATGGCATGGGATTGATCAGTAGTGACATTTGATTAGAGAGATCCAGCACATTTGCTTGTTGTTTATTGAAGTATTTTCTTCAAACAGCTCCCTCGCAAGTTAGTGGTGTAATGAAAGAAAAAGTACTGCAAAGGAGTGTGGAGCTTTCCTGGCAGGAACCTGAGCATCCCAATGGAGTCATCACAGAATATGAAATCAAGTATTATGAGAAAGTAAGCATTACTTTGAATGTGGGCCATTCTTCTGTTCGTGTCATTGCAATATCTTTCTCTAGCGGACTAACATTTTGTATAGGCAGCCTGCAGCCTTCATTTTGGTTGCCATTTTTATTGCTATTAAAGATATATTTGATTCTATCTTCTCTAATGCACAAAGAGAAGGTAGTAAAATTAAGCCATCATTTTAATGAACAAAAGCTTCAATTGGTGAATTATTGAGGGCAACCTTAGTTAATGATGCCACAAAGCAATTAGTTAGGATGCACTACAGGTAGTCCTCAAGTTACAAAGGCAACTGGAATCAGTATTTCCATTCCTCAACAATGCAGTCATAAAGTGTGATGTCACATGGCCACATTGCTTAGCAATGGCAATCTCTACAGTCTCCATTACAGTTTTTAAACAAACATTGTAGGTTTGTAGGTAAGTGACTCCTCACAACTTCCTACTGGCTTCCAACAACCAAATTCATTGGGGAAGTCAGCAAGAAGATATAAATTCTTGACAAACAGATAAGCGACTCCTGCTGAGTGAGAGGACATGCACAGGTAGACAGGGAGGTGCAGCAGGGCTTGGATGGATGGATGACAATGAAGTTGCAAAAGGGGTGGGGAGATGCAGTGCAAGTGTAACAGGGTTTAGAGTCATTGCTGCCAGGCCAGAGAATATGCCTAGGTGGCTGGGGTGGTACAGTGCAAGCACAATGAGGCTTGAGGAGAGTATGTGAGTGGCATGGGAACTGTAAGCTCACAGTGAGGTTCAAGGAGGGCATGCAAGGATGTGTGAGTGTCCAGAAAGGCTTGTCACAAGAACAGCAAAGCTCAGGAAAAGTGTATAAATGGTTGTGGAAGAGCAGTGGAAGCTCAGTGAGGGTCGGCAAACGGGTGCAGGAAGTTGGGTGGCAGGAGTGCAGAGGGGCTAGGGACAGTGGGGGGAGACTTACCTCAATATCTTGCAAACTTCCCTGCTGGTTTTCCCATTGATTTTGTTTGTAGGAAGCGAGCAAGGAAAGTCAGAAATCTAAATCAGGTGATCACAGGAAGCTCAACCATTGGAAGGGCAAGCAGGTTGCCAAGCACCCAGATTGTGACCGCAGAAATGCTGGGACAGATGGAACATTGAGGCCTGGTGATAAACATAAGTTGTTTAGCGCTGTTGTAATTTCAAACAATCACTGGACAGTGGTTGTTAATTGAGGACTACCTGTTTGTACTCTTTACAGTAATTGGGAATGAAGAAAATATTTTTAAATGCATTTACTACTAAAAAATATTGATAAATTATTATAGCATTTAAAAGGCACATGTTCTGATATAGTAATATACAAATTATTATAATATTAATTGGTTAAAATTAGGATTATTGACACTCTAAAATACTTAATTGTTAACCATGTTTATAACCTTCAGACTTTAGAGCACTGGATTGCTTTACAAAAGACTTCAGGGTGGAATGTTTATAATTTCAGATAATTGATCTGGAAAAAAACCATTGGAAATATAATACCAGAAGTAAAATACCTGCAAGGGAAACATTATTGATGCCTTTTCTTCACAAAAGATTTCTATTTCACCCCCTCCCTCCATTTTGCTTGTATTCCCTGATAAATGTCAAGAGGAATTTCACTGGAATTATTCTTTATATATAGGTGGTCCTTGTCTTAGAACTGGAATTGAACCCAGAATTATAGTCGTAAGTCATTAAGCAAACCCCATGATTGTTAAGTAAACTCATTCTCTGGAATGGGTGGAGGGTTTTTTTTGCCAGAGATCTGATGTAAAAACGTTCGCTGGCAAAAAAAAAAATCTTAAATTGCAGTCACATGACTGCAGGATGCTGTAAATTTAAGTCAGTTGGCAAGTGCCCCAAATACAATCACATGGCCATGGGGTCTGGCCATGAGAACTTTGAATGGTTGCTAAGCAACTAATCACAAGTAATGGACTGCCTATACTTGTTTTCTCTATCCTTAGATATCTGTTTAAATCTTGGTAGATTTACCATGGAAAATTGTATTGGATAATATTAGCTAATTTCTTACATTTAGCTAATCTTATAATTTATTAATTTAATAACAAAATATTGCCACAATCTCACAAATTTTATGAACGAATCATAAAACTGTAGTCTTTACAGTATATCAATAACAAATTTAAAACAAAACAAGAAATAGTCAATTAGACATCTCCCTACTCTTTTAGGGCATCAGAAGTGTTGAAGTCCCACTTACAAAGGAGTATAATTAATTCAAAAGCTGCTTGAAATTCAGAGTGGAAGGGTCCAAATACAAGGTGTAAAGCTTTAGGATGTAACACTTAAGTATTGTAAGAAATGCACCCAATACAGCTTCAATTATGTGATAATAGACATCCTTTGGATCCTTTGGATGTCTATCTGAAAAAAAAAACTCTTTGAAAATCCTTATAAAATGAATGGCACATTTTTTGGGAGAAGTAGAAATGATAGGACAAACTTTTTTATTGGGTATCTTTAATTATGAAGGTTTAGTCAAAGTTAAAAAATTTAGTTTTTAACTTTAGCATTGTTAAAATGCTAAAATGTTTGAAATGTTAAAACTTAGTTTAGAACTTTAGTATTGATTTTGCTACGAGGTTGCTCTAAATATAGATTACATTCACATGGTGTAATTCACATAGTCCTCATCTAGTGATTGCTGCATTTAATCTCTGTTCCAAGTTACAATGGTAATTAAAATAGTTTTACAATCCTTGCAGTTACGACCTTTCCAGATCTGTAAAACAAAGGAAAGATGAAGTAAGATCATAAGCATATTTGTGATTTCACTTAGCAACTGCTTCATTTAATTACTATTTCTCCCCTTCTTTGTTTCTATCTCATTCCATTTTTTCTATATTTTAGAAATAATTTGGAGAGAGTAAAGATTTTTCTTTAACTTTCAATTCTGAAATTCTGCATGATGGCTACTGTGTGTAGCATTCTCCATGAACCAGGCAATTATGGCCATCAATGGCATCTTATCAAACATGAATAACATTGGATAAGATTGAATCCTAAGGCTAGAAGTAGTCCACATTTTTCACGATGAAGACTGTGAAGAGAATTTGCTAATAACTTAAAACTACATTGGATGACTAATGTAAACAGTTTCCAAATTAGGTAATCCTGACCTATGTAATTCTAAGGTTATGAACTCACATGGCCTGTGATAGAGAATGTGAAAATCAGCTTAAGACAAATGTTACTGGAAAAGACAGAGTGAGTCCCACTAATAGTATACCTATTAGACGACCTTACTATAACACCACTGAAAGGATAACACTGCAACCCCCTAACAGAATCCAACCTTGCAGTAGATACCGAACCATTTAGCCCAAAGGAGCATCTCAGTTTTGGGTAGCGAGTCAGAAGATACAAAGTAGAGAAAAACATATTGTAATCCTGTTTATAAGTGCCATATAGCTTTAAAGCACCAAGTTCTTTAAAGTACTAATTAGGATCGATCATGACCTTTTATCCAAATACAGTTAAATGTTGGTAACAGCTTCCTGTTCAGAATACATTTTCACATAACTCATATGATATTATATTTGACTTCTAGAACTCCTGACTCTGTTTCCTCTTGATCAAGGCATCTATCTTACTTTCTAGGCTGGGTAAATATGAATTGTTAACACACTACTTAGCATGTTGTGTAAACTCAGCCACAGAATATGCTAAAATGAGAGTTATGTGCTTTAGATGGATTTATGTCTTATTCTTTTTTAATATTAAATAATAAAAATGAACCAATAACACATTTTGTACCTAATTGTAGTTTAATATTTTTGTAAAAGTAAATTGTTATTTAAGTAGAAAACACCTTTTCAATTTGACCATCATTAAATGTTCAAGCATTTTCTTCAGATATTTTTTATACTACAGAACTGTAACAATTTTTTTGATGTAGATTCCCCCAGAACTGTACTATAGTACTATTCTCTATTCTACAGAACTGTAACAAAAAATTTTGGTGTAGATTTCCTCAAAGAATATAAGATCCTACATTTTAACATGATTGATAATTTAAACTAAAGATCCAAATACAGTATATCATTAAGATCATTAGGTTTGTTGGATATACTTAAACCAACTATCATAGATTTACTATCAATGACTGATTTACTATAAATTTTTATTAAAAAATTATGAACTTTAATAATTTAGTAAATTACTACTAAAAATAAATTTAATACTTTAAGTACAAATACACTGAAAAAATTATGTTGAATCCATTGTATATAAATCTTTCATAAGGTTGTTACCCTTTAGAAAATTTTACTTATCCCCTTCCACATGTATCTTATGGAAAATAATAGCAATGCATCTACTATCAAAAAAATGTTTTAATAGAAGAAAACAGATGCATATACATTTAAATGCACATAGACCTTTCTAGGTCATTTTCTGTCCTATTAAAAATAAAATGAACATGCTTCTGCTTCAGTTAATTTTAAGCTGTTGCTATCAGAGGTGTTCTTCCACCCATAAATGAAGCCAGGTAGAATGAGCTTTGTAGAGTCGGCAGAGCTGAAATAAATAATTGTTATGATTTGTCTAGGTAGCTGAAAAAGAACATCTTATTTCCTAAGAGTAGGGAGGAACTTGCTGATTCCTGAACTGATACATCACAATATTTGAAACTGATGAACAAGCGAAAGTCCACAGTCAAACAGGCAATGATTTTTTCTGTTCACTTTTATGAACAGCACCACGTGCTTCCCATTTACATTTTGTGTTATTTTAAAATCTCAGTGAAATGACATTGTATTATGCCACAGCAGAGTCTCTGCTAAATTCTTTATGCAGGAGGAAAAAAAAAATCCTTCTAATAAATTGAAATAGGGTGCCAGGAGCCAGCTGTCAATTATTGATACAAAGCAAAATGAAAATCTGAAAGTTAAATACCACTCAATTGTGTATTTATGTTTGCAGGACCAAAGGGAGAGAACTTATTCAACAGTGAAAACCAGAGCCACTTCTGCTTCGGTTAATAATCTGAAACCAGGAACTGTATATGTTTTCCAGATTCGTGCTTTTACTGCTGCTGGCTATGGAAATTATAGCCCTAGATTAGATGTTGCTACACTAGAAGAAGCCACAGGTAACCCTTACTTACCCTTTTTAGCAATTAATATCAACTAGGAAACCCAAAACATATAGCAAATTGGAAGAATGAAAACATTTCTGCCTTTCTCTATTATAGCTCATTTCTCACTTTGTTAAGATCTCAACATTTCCTCTAATTTACCTTAAGGTTCACAAGCAAGACTTAAGTCAGTGCTGATTTCTAACTGCAATTATCTGTTTTAGGAAAAAATACCTTAGGGCTGTTCCTTTTTGCTATGAATACTTCAATACAAATTTAAGGGTTTAAAAGAAAATCATAAAGTAACATGTACAGTTATACAACACAAAATGATTCAGTGTCTTGAGGCTTTGAAGGGATGGTATTTTTTGTTCACATTCAGATCACATGATTAATTCTTCTTGAATCCTTCTAATAGTTTCTCCGTAGAATATTTATTGCTGGCTCTTGGCATAACATCTTTACTATTGACACTGGATATATTTAGGAATAATTCTTAGATTTTATTTATATAACTCCATTGTGTCCCATTTTCCAAAGGGAATAAAACTGATCAGAGCAGCAATATTTTTCTGTGTTTTTGGTTTTTAAGTTGCTCTTCTGAAGATTATGAAAGACCTGCACACTTTCTATCTCCAGTACTTCTCTTTAAATATTTATATTTCAAAAATACCATTAAAATTATGTAATTCACTGGATGCTAGCAAGAATGGAAGTAGGTATAGCAAAAGTTATCATTTATAGATAACTATATACAGAGATAGACGTTATATACAAGAGTAATTGCAAACATTTGCTACACATTATTCCTTTAGAATTCTTTAACTATTATGCAGTGTTCACGACAAAAACAAGATACTTATCTATATACCACCCAGAACTAGGTCTGTTTTGGGACTTTACCCTTCGGCTGTGGCTTTGTCTAGATGTAAAGTCAAGATGACTTCTGAGACATGACACAAATCTTACATATTAGTGCATTCTCTTCCAAATTCATGTACAGCCAGAATTACTATAGCCTTCTTCTTATTACAGGTAATCCTCCATTTACCACCACAATTGAGTCCAAAATTTCTGTTGCTAAGAAAGGCAGTTGTTAAGTGAGTTTTGTTCCCCTTTTACAATCTTTCTTTCCACAGTTGTTAAATGAATCACTGCAATTGTTAAGTTAGCTAACATGGTTGTTAAAAGAATCTGCCTTCCCCATTGTCTTTGCTTGTCAGAAGGTCTCAAAAAGTGATCACGTGACCCCAGGACACTGCAACAGTCACAAATACATGCCAGTTGCCAAACATCTTAATTTTGATCACATGACCATGGGCATGCTGCAACAGTCACGAATGTGTGATATCTGATCATAAGCCATCTTTTCCAGTGCCATTGTAATCTCAGTCATTAAACAAATGGTTGTAAGTCAAAGACTACCTCTACTTTAATATAGGCCTCATGTTCCTCTCTCTCTCTTTAATCTCTTTGCCCTCTCTCCATGCCTGTCTTATCCTGGACCCATACTCTTGGAAGAGTTTGGAGTTAGTTTGGTTTTTCAATGAAGCATTCATTTGAAAGAGGGAAAATGTGTTTAGCAGCCATCTCCTCATTGCAAGGAACAGTAGTGTGCCCAGGTTAAGAAATTGAGGGTAGAGGCTATGGGGAGGAGAATTTATGCAGTGAGGCAAAGATTTACAGCAAATCTATTGTGGGCTATATATGAGAGGAAGATATTTGAGTATCAGATATTATTCATCTGAGTATCTGAACTTCTGGAGGTGGTATATCTGCTGTGAGAACAGGAAGAAATACCCTAAAAAACAAAGGACTTCATTCTTTCTTCACGGGGAAAAAAAAAAGGCAGCAAGCAGAAAATCTCTTCAAAAAAAAAATTAAAATGTATGACCAAAGGTTTTAACAAAAAGGGGGTGAAAAGAAATTAGTCCTTTTGTTATTTTATTCCATTATCATTCCCACATGCCTTAACCTTTAAGAGGACCTGTTTTTTTCATTATTGGGGGATTTCTGTTTCTCACCTGACAGCTGCTCTTCTAGCATCTTTCCAAAATCCATTTTTCCCCCTACGAATTGGAGCTGCAGAACAAAAGAACATTCATATCCATTCATTCTCTAGAGACCTTTTAGGAAGTCCCATGCTGGACTGTGCAGAGATCCACTGAAAAATAAAGCTAATGATGCAACTGGAACTTCATTTTACACAAAGCAATTTTGTTTTAACTATTACAAGAAAAAGTAACAAAATGTTTTAAATATCTATTATTGCTTGCTAAATTGAGGGGAAAACAACAGTGGTGGGAATAGATAGAGAAAGAATGCACACACCAAGTGTGAGGGAACCAGAATATCATTAATTTTATTTTTATCAAATGGTGCTTAATTAGGGTTTTCCACGAACTGTGGAACCCAGACCTATGACAAAGGTTTTGATCCAGGTGGTACCACTGTTTCTAAAAGGGAACATAGATTTGCATGTTTAGTATATAAGCTTCTGCTGATTAATTTTTAAAAATTATATTCAGAATTGCTATATTTTTCAACCAAAACCTGCAGATTTATATAAACAATTGTGCTGGCTGGCAGAAATGCAACAGATCCCATTTCCTGACATAAAGCTAAAGTAATAAGAGATCTATATGTGTTGAATGTTTTTGCCTGTCAGTCAAAGTACCTTTCTCTGACTGAAGAAGCAAACTGATTTGTTTCCTGCTCACAAATACTAATACATATTCTGTGCAATAGATTTTAAAAAATGAAATTTCTAAGAACTGATGAGATAGATAGATAGATAGATAGATAGATAGATAGATAGATAGATAGA